CCATGATCGACGGGATCATCATTCGCTAATTGTAATTGGCGCAGTACTAATGCGTCATAACTAGACTATCACTAACAGTGTCATTCGTTATTTGTCACAGAAAACACGTGTCCGAGGATTTTGATGGAGGACGATTTGTCCCGTGCGGTGGCTACGCTGATCTCCCAAATCTATCGAGATGATTAAATAAAATTTTTATTAAGAAAAATTGAAATTTAAACTTCTGTTTTGCATTACTTGCCTGGGTAGAATTGCTAGTAGTCATTATAGTAAATTAAGATGTTATATGACCAAAGTAAAGCATCTTTTTTATTTAAAAATGATTCGCATTAAATTATATCAACATTATCATGCATGATCATTATCTGAGTCAGGACGTTATATATATATAAAATATGACAAATTTGAAAAAAAATAACTTACGATAAGAAAAATTATACAACCTATAACTCTTATTTGGTAATTTCGCTCATGCAAATTATTTTTACATCATTAGATTTTTATGAATTGTCACCACGTAATCGCGCTTTGACTTTACTCGTATAAGAATTGCATGATAGTTAGTCAATTAAAAAGGTATTTTTAATTCTTCTTTTTTTTATTCTCATATCAAAAAGGAACATCACGAATATATTTACTCACATTTTTATGGTTCCAAGGAAGAGAAAGTAAGTAGAAAAGACATCTTTTGAACCTCAGTCGCTGATAACTGATTTTTCTTTTTTCCAAGTTTCTCTACATGGTTAAAAAATCCACCGAAAAAATGGATGAAAAAGCTAGTGAAAAAATTTCTAAAACCGTTGAGGTAATCTAGACAGCATTTTAGGAATATATATATATATTATTTTTAACAAACCTATTGCCGCAGGACTCTGCCTTACAGCGACGATGGGAAAATGGTGAATCCAAAGGGAACATTTATAACATACGGCCCTTACCCACCGATTCTCATAAACACAAGCTGGGACGCGCTTTGTCTTTTGTGGACTTTCTATGTCAGACTTCCTATCAGGAAAGCGTCACTCGAGAATCACAAAAAGTATCTCACAATGAAGCTGAGAGTTTTGAGAAGACAAATAATGAAGTTGGAAACAAGAAGGTATTACCGCCCACGCATGATAAATCTTACATATACAGTAAAAGACAACAAGATAAAGAGATTCATGGCCGGAGTCTCAGTTCGCTTAACGCCAGCCAAACCGCCAAAACTAACGAGGTCGATGATTACAAAAATGCAAATGGAAGTAGCAAGTTCGAGATTCAAGAGTATGAAGATATTTCAACGGGTGAATCTTGCCCTAACAGAGCAAGAATTTTCGGAATACAGCCATCCTTGGGGCAACTGCTCCGAATCGGTACCGTGGGAGGTATTGAAGGGACAAAATGGACATCATGTCGATTTGTACAGCCGTACTACAGGATTGGAAAAGATGGTAGTCAGAAACCTATGTCCAATGTGCCGGAGGGTGGCACACACATTGAATCTCATAGGTATTTCAACAATTCACCTATGGTGATCGAAATTATTGCGAATGAACTCGGACGTCGCCAAATTGCAGATTCTCTTGGCCATAGGACCTGTGAAGTTTCAAGTCTTACCAAATGTATGGATGCAAAATCAGTATTTAGCACTTATTTTGACGAGGTCCAAATGTTTGGCTTCAACCATATCATACTCATTGGGGAACGTTACTGTGGAATAATTTTTTTAGATTGCTATGGTCGCGTTTTTGAGTTAGATAGAATGTCTTGTGTGTTGTGGCCACTCGGCAATTCTTTGAAAGATGTGGAAACAAACCCCTGGATTGCATGGGATGTTGATATTGATAATGGGATTGTTTTTGAACTCGAATATTGTATGTGTATATATCTTGATCTTTTTTAACATAATCTTGCATAACCAGTATTCATTTTTTCAGATACAACTGAGGCTGAACGTAATACACACGTTATGGACGACTCTTCGGAATCCGAGGAACTTGCGAAAGACAATAAGAAAGCCTATAAGAACAAAAACAAGAACAAGAACAAAAAAAAGAAAAGCAAGAAAAATAGCACAGTTTTTTGAAAATTCTAGCTTAGTACTCTTACACCCAAACCTTTATAGTTATTAATTTAAAGATTTTTAAAAAAGATACTATTTACATATCTTTTGCTTTTAATTTTTTACGCCTTTTTTTTTAGAAATCAAATTACAATTATTTAGAATATTTTACAACATTTCAGAAATTAAAATAAATAAATCATGCATGATTGCTTTGCTCTCTCATTTCTGTTTTACTATTTTATATTAATCAGTCAAGTTTTGCTTCTTCTAAGCAAAAATTTCTTTCGGGTTGAGATCTATAGAAAATTTATTTCGATCAAATAATCTTGTATTGTGTAAATAATCAATTATTACAAGTCATAAAAATATAGCAATATTTCTTCGTGGCATTGAATTTATAATATCTTCAAAAACAAAACGATACCATTTCGCCTTTAGTACAATCATAAGTTTGAATATTATTTCTCTAAATGTTCTTTTCAGACTTAGTGAATTTGCTGTCCAATAAATGCAATTTTATTTGCCTTTAATCAGTTTTTAGTTATTTTGCAGTTTGAAACCATGCGAGCAGACATTATTTTAAATTAAAAAAAAATCCTTGAAAGCCAAATTTGTGAAATACTGTATAGTTACACGATTCAATTATAACGTGAGGATATATTCAACTCAAAAGCTCTGAATTATGAGTAGTTTTCATTAATATTAAAAAAAAATAAGCACATTTATAGATATTTAAATAAGAAAAATTTGCAAACATTCTCTAGTTTTAAAGTAAAATATATATTTTTTAAAAAGTAAATTACAACGATATAAGTATAAAAAAAAATCGTCATCAGTCAAATAATTTATTTTATTCTATACCACCTTGAGCTAATCATGCCACTGCTAATATTATTGCTAATATACTTACAATTCAATGTTATAGTTAATGACAGACCTCTTTGCATTTCAAAGAAAAATGGTCGGTTATTTAAAATGATTTTTTCTGCCAAGCAAGCAGGTTTATTTCGGATGTATTTGTTGCTTAGTTCAGAATATGCAACAGTCGCTTTTTACCAAATTGTTTTTGATCATGTGTAATGCAATGGATTTACTGAGGAGATGCAATGATGCAAGAAAGAATTTAAATGATTATTTAGGAAATAAATATATGAAATAATAAAGAATGGTACTGTGAAAAAATATCATTGTAACTAGGCATTGCAGCGAAAATTTAATAATATTTGATTGGTTAAACCTCACGTGGTCTTTAGAGAAAAAGGCTATCATTTTTTTATTGCACAATATTTATGTATAGTTTTTACCATATTATCTTCGCCACACTTTCGAATATTGTTTTAGGTTTCGGCGACATGCTTGAAACTATTTATAAAAAATATAAGAAAATTTCATTGTCGTATAAATTCTTAATTGACAAAATTTTTAAAAATTAAACGACCATAATGAATTTAAAAACATTAAGGGCAAATGCAGTGATTAATATAAGTTGACATCATTAAATAGATATTTTTATTTTATTTATTTATTTAATTTTGTAATTTATGGATAACAATAAATGAAATTCTTTATATATAGTAAGTGATATAACGGATAAAGCATTAAAAGAAAATGAATGAGATTATAAAATTATAAATCGTGGCAGGAGTTTTAACAGTCTCTATTTAACTAGAGTATATGCACAGCCTAGACCTTCACTTTCGGAATCTCCAACAGCAACTCCAATAATGTATTGATTTGGTAATGTGTCTGGTACTGGAACTTCCGCTGTTTGATTATACGAGTCACCAGCTTTAATTGGACATCCACTTCCAGTACAAGCATCAACAACTGTGGGAGGTTCAATGGGATTTTGATTCGTATCAACAAATGCAACCCCAAGTTTGGTTTGTTCGGTGATATCTTTCGAAAATTTTCCGGAAACACTAAATTTAACCTTTTGTCCAGCGACGGGTGGATCGGGTGAAATTGAAACTTCAAGTTTGGGTAGTGGGGTATTTGACCCTGGAGGTGGGGGACATTGAGAAAAGCTGGCTCTTTTAAGAAGTTTATGTGGAATTGCATTGACCATGAAAAGCGTGGCCAATAAGAGGAATGTAAAAATAAATTTTCGGTTCATGATTCTTGATATTTTTTTTTTTTGAAGTTGATTCTTGTTAAATTTTTTGAAATTATTTATTAAATGAGCTTGATTTCTTTAAATTCAGAGTAAATTGAAATAAGTTGCCTTTTTATAAGGAAAAAAAGAGGTCGAAAAATTAAAAAAAAATTTAAATTAATGTACATTTCATCATGATCGGCGTCTTTGTCGTCATTCAATTTGTTTCTTTATATGGTAACGATCATTTCCTTAATATAACAAGCCTAAATGCTAAACAGTTTTGGTAAGTTTTAAATAATTTCGTTAGTTTCGTTTTGTTTTAGCAGTTTTAACTAATTTGAAATATGATGTAAGTATTGCTAATAGAAAATTTGGTATAGTTATAAGCACCTATCCAAGCCATAAATGGCTTGCTTGTAAAATTTTGATTTATGACAATTTTGGTAAGGTTTGGTTTGATAATTTCTAGTTTCGTTTTAATTTCATTTATTTTTAGCATTTTTAGCTTAATTAGTTAACAATTTGCAATGCATGATGTAATATCACTTCAAAAATGATGTGTCGATCATATGACAAAATAATTTTTACTGAAAATTTGTAATCTGCGATGCAACATGATCGACCAGTATAAAAGTGTATTTTTTCATAATTAATAATAGACAAATAAAGTGTTATTTACTAGAATGTAACAAATTAACCCAAAGTGGTCAAAAAAAAAATTATTTCCCTGTATTTATGATACAACTAATTCAACTATAAATAGCTGAGAGAAAATTTTGTTAAGAACTCAGGCGTTGTACTAAAAGATAATGACTTCAATGATAATCCTTTTCACAACTTTCCAAAGAAACTATTATTATTTCCCTCATTTATGATTTAAAGTTAAAGTAATTTTGGGCCAAATTACCAGATCATCACGTCACACCCTTCAAATTTTTGAATTGTCATATCACACAGAATTAAATTTGATGCGGGAATAGTTTCTCATACTTTCTCGTCCTTCATACTCTGTAAATTGTAATCATAAAAAATTCAATCCGCTTTTTAGGAATTAATACAATACAATATTCCTACATTATCGACCATTAAACTGAATATATTCGAAATATAATAAAATTTATGATCCGTAATGTGATAATACTAGTAAAATTTCCAAAATATTTATGAAATTATATAAAAAGTTTCGACTAATCTTCAATCATGATTGATATATTTGATAATAGGTTTTAGATCATATGGTAAAAATCAAATTTACATTTATATGCAAAATTTGAATTTCTAATTTTTCCCGGCAGTTCCCCCTTTTAATTGCAAAGGTCCTATATGTTTGAATGGGCCAAAATTGCAGCTCTAAGCACGTCATCACTGCAATGTTCTTTCCGTCAAATTATGATTGTATAATATTATTAAGACCAGTACGGTACGATCATAATTTGGAGGATCGTACCGATCAGCCGAACCGTTACGTACCGGTTTTCCCTATATTCTCATGTGATAATTCCTTATAAAACAAACATTATCCACAGATAATTTTTTTTTTTTAAAAAGATGGATGTAAATAGTAAATAGTCCAATAGTTTCTGAGTTTAACAAATTTAATGCTAAGTATAATTGTCCTTATTGTGATAAACCATTTGCAGAGATATTATGGTGTACAGAATGTGACCCTCTTTGTATAATTGAAGGATGGACTAGCGGAACTTCTTACGTAAATAATTCGTGCAAGAAATGATAGTTATGCAAGATATCTTGAATGGGTGCCTTTTGATAAATTTACAGATAAAAAAGAAATTGGTGAAGGAGGATTTGCCAAAGTGTATTCTGCAACATGGATTGATGGTAAAACATATTTTATGAAGCAAGAAGATGGAAGTTGGAAAAAAACAGATCCTGAACCTATGAAGGTTGCTTTGAAAAGGTTAGCTGGATCTCAGAACATGTCGGCTAAAATATTTTAATGAGGTATTTTAAATTTACATTTAATATTTACTTAACAAAATATTTGCTTAAATTTTTATTAAAAATAACTAGCTTAAAGCACATTGGTGTTTCAATAAAGATAATGCTTATAGCAGCGATATTTTAGAATTTTATGGAATAACTAAGGATCCAGAATAAAAGAATTTATTATGATCGTAAAATTTTTTGACTGATGAAAATTTGAGTTGTCGTCTTTCAAATAATTTTAAAAATATTTTATGGAAAGAAAAAATGAGGAAATTAGTATATACAATTATTGAACTTAAATTTTACTTAAGCTAGGATACTGCCATAAGGATTTTAATAGTGGAAATATATTGCAAAATAAAGTTAATTCTTATATTTCAGATTTGGAACCATATATCGTTCCAGAAGTCTTGAATGGAGAACCATATATATTAGCTTCTGATATCTATAGTTTTGGTGTAATTATTCGTCTGGATACTCTCCATTTTTTGATAGGAAGCATGATTACAGATTATCCTTAGATATTTGTAATGGACTTCGTCCAGAATTTGGAAAAGGAATTCCTGAATTTTATAAGAAATTGGCTTATAGGTGTATGAATGAAAATCCAAATCAAAGACCAACGAGCGATGAATTACATGAATTATTGTATTTTGGTATAGATTTACTAATAAGCTCAAGAAGTATAAAGATACTAAAGAATATGGATATTATGGAAAAGAAATAAATGAAGCATTTAAAGAAATAAAGAAATACCAACATTTCAATTTCACTTAAGACAAATCCTGAAGCTGTATATACAAGTAGAGAATTTGTATTTAAAAGTTTAACAAACCTATTAATTCGTATCTTATTATTCATATCTTGAAAAGGATGAGAATAATGAAGGTATAATACACTAAATTTTAATTTTCGATCTTGAAATAAATATAAATATTAACTTTAATTCATTTAATTTTCAAAATTCTCAATTACATGAATTAAAAATATCTAGCTCAATTCAAATATAATGAAATATTGATTTATTAAAAAATAAACTAATACTGATTTTATATTTAATAATAGTCAAAATATTCCTGAAGCAACATTATGTATTACTGAAATTGTTTATAAATATCAGAATCGTTGGCGAATTTGTAATATTATATTTCATATAAATATCCTTCAGATTATATTTAACATATTAAATTCGTACATATTTAGGAACAATGACGAAACGAATATCATTAAAATAAAAATATTTTAGCCAAAAAAAATAACGACTTTCGTTATTCGTTATATTATAGCAAAAGAAAAAAAATTAATCTTTGAAATTTAGAATTAAGCCAAAAAAAAATATTTCTTTTTTTCTGTAAAAATAATATAAAAATTTAATGATTTTTGTTATGTTTTAATTTAATCAAAAAAATGTTTTTAATTATATATATTTTCCATGAATTGTCATATATAGTACAGCAATTTGATAAATTATTAAATAAATGTTTTTTATGAGAATTGATTGAAAAAAAGAATCGAAAATTAGGAATAGATAAATAAAAATTGATGATGTATTTTAAATCAAAGAATAAGTAATCATTATTATAATTAATCTTTTTTTTCGAATAATGATTAAATAAACCCATCAATTGTTAATAGTCTTACTGATGATTTCTTTATTTTGTCACATTGAATAAATAAACTTTAAATTTGCTTTTATTTTAGGGAAAAAAAGCTGGATCTTAATATACCATTTAATGTTATGTGGAATAATAACATTGTACAGCTTATTGTACTACCAAATACAACGGCCATATAATATCAACCAACATAAATATACTTTTTATTTGAAACATGTCTGTATTATATCCTAATGTGTGTAAACAAACAAACTTTTAATTTTAACAGTTTGATCAAAAATTAAAAAAAAATTTTAAATACAGTATATAATAAAATGTAATAAACTGTATAAATTTAAAAACTAATTTACCTTTAAATTGTTCGGGCAAAACGAAAGTGTAGATCTATGAAAGACAATTAACATTAACATGACGAAATAATTTTTTTATTTAATGAACTCTTCTTACCTACCAAATGTTTGCCTTCTTAATTAATTATAATTACCAAATGTAAATTTTCAAAAAAAGAAAATCCATTAAAAAATTGATTCAGAAGAAGTATTATTATTTATATTTTGGTGAGGAATGATTGCAATTCGATTCAAAGTATTTTAGTTATTAATGAATAGAATGCTCTATTTGCATTTGTTATTTTCGTTAGTTTGTTTGATACATTTTCGTATATTTTTATTATGAAAAATAATACTACTTATTTATAATGTTATTCTTAGTTTTTAACCTGATACAATGGTAGTTATTTATAAAATTTCTTTTTAATTGAGTAATATTGATATAGTATTCTCAAGTAAGTTATCTACATTACCAATACTGTTTTAAACTGAAGGAAACAATAATAAACTTGAAGTGAGTAATTGTTTGACCCTTTAAATATCTATTCACTCAAAATGACATACATTAAATCATTTAAATTGCATAGAAGTTAATGATTTTGTAATGAAATTGTAATTGTGCGCAAAAATTCACCAATAAAAAATATTGAGAAATTCTAATTAATAATTGTTAATAGTAAAAATATAATTGAATTTCACTGTGCTATTCCTTACTATTACATGATACATGATAATTATCATCAGAAAAACTACTTTAGATTTAATAATTAGTCAAATGTAAACCATAACAATTATTGCGAAAAAATTATTTTCACCAATTATTTTAAAAATAAAAATGTGAGAGGTCAAAATTAAAAAATCTGATATTTATTTTAAAGACAAAAAATTGTGAATAATCTAAATATGTAGTATGTAAAATAAATAAATCAAAAAATTTTAAATCTGATTATAAGTCATATAATTGAAACTTGAAAGGATCTATCCAATCAGATGTGACAAAAAAAAAACACTTTTTGCTTTACAGACAATTAACAAATTTGTGATAGCTAGCATTGTAGGCTCAATTACTAAAAAACAAGTAGTACGTAAATTGTATTCTCAATTAGAAATATTTTGTAATTAACGTCACTATGTATTCCTTGTGATTCATATAAATACTTGTTATTTATGATATGAAGGATAAATAGGTTAATCACAGGATATAGATATAATCACATTAATCACATATGCGTAAATGCATAACCTCATTATCTGTAACTTCATATGAAATAACAAGCTTATCACATTATGCATTATGTATACACTGGTGGAATTATTATTCTTTTCATTTATGCTACTTTATGTCTTTATTGCTGTATTACAAATTAATTATTATTATATTGTCTTGTAAAAGAATCAATTTACATTACAATAAAACTAAAAGCAGATAGATATTATACAAGAATTCAAGCAAAATGAAGAACAAGAAGCCAATTATTATTACCTATTTTTACAATAAAGATATATACACTGGTCAAAATAGGTACAAATCAGCTAAAAATCAGACAGACAATTGATGGATGATTAATAGCCGATTTAGGGCTGATTTACATTAATTCTGATTGACACAATATGAGTCAATCAGAAATATCAATCAGTCATCAATCGCCATCAATTGTTCATCCAAAATCTGTCTAAAACAAGCTATCAATCATCCATCAATCATCTGTCCGATTTTTAGCCAAAATGTTATTACATTTATTTCATGTTACAATTTCATAAAATAATATTTTCTATTAATTTTATAATTTTATTCATTATGTGACAAACAAATAGAAAATAATACTAAAAATAAACAAATTACTAAAAAAAAAAGAAATCGTTATTGTAATTGATAAATTGTCATCGTCGTCATCGTTGTCATTATTTAATCACCTCTGATTTAAACAAAAAACTAGCAAGTAAGCAAAAATAAAATAAATTGTTCCACCCGCCCTCCTATTTATAAAAAAAAGAACAAAATGTGAAAAATAAAGCAAATAAAATAACTTAAAATGTATTATAAAAAAAAATAAGAACAAAATGCGAAGAAAAAGCAAAAAAAAAACTTAAAATATCCCACCCGCCCTCTCATTTATAAAATAAACAAATAAAAATAAGCAAAAGAAAAAAATATATCAAAAATCATTGCGTCATCGTTGAATATAACATCTCGATATGGTTGTCGCCGTTAATCATCCATCTCGAGATAGTTGGAATCGTATTCTTCATTGCTACCGGCTGCCGATGTTTGCCCTCTTTTGACTTTGACAAGTTCTTCGTTATCTATAATATATTCTTCTTCATCTGATTTTTCAACGTCAGTGTTGAAGAATATGTTCAGTTGTTCGATTTGAGACCATTCGGAAGCATTCAAAGGATGTGGCTGGTCAAAATGCTGCACCTAGTTATCGTATATTTGATTTCATTGTGCTTTTGCTAAAATAACCGAGGTTGCAGCATTTTGGTTAAGTACACTATAAAGGAGATTTTTTAGCTGAAATAATAAAATAATGTTTAGTAATTTACTAAAATTTATAAATGAGATTTTTTTAAAAAAAATAGTAAAACCTCGATCGATCGCCACGAGAGATCATATACAGCGATGACAAACTTTTGTTCTAGGTCGTCTTCATCTATCTCGCTTATTTCGAGAGAATAGTATAGGCGATCGGCCAGCATTTTCAATAAAGACCGCTTTTCGTATTTCATGATTTGTCTGTCGTTGTTCGCAAATAATCTTTAGCGGTCTTTACTTGTCATAATTTTTTCTAGAAATAATAAATTAAAATTAAATAAACTTAATAGATCAAAATTCAGATTAAAATCAGAATTCACTAACTTCATGTACTCAACCATTTGTGTGTAATCATTGTTGTTCTATGATGGTCTTTTTGCTTTGCTTGTATCGTTGAATCGATCATTAAGATTTATGGAGGCTTCGAAGCCAGGTTGTCAATTGGTCAATAGAAGATCAAAAATTCAGAGCCAAGACCTTTCGTAATTCTGGGATTAGACTCAGTTACTTTTCGATATTTTTTTTGCTATTAAAAGTTTTATCATAGTCTAAATCCCGTTTCGAATCGATGGTTTTTAAAATCACTTTCATTTTAGCCTAAATATGAAAATCAGAAAAAAAAATCAGTTTGTAATTTAGAATATCAAAACAATTAACAAAATTCAAATATACCCTAGCTTCTTTCACGTTGGATTTTTCTACTGACGAATTGCCATTGTCCTCAGAAACAATTTTCATTAATTCGTAATCCATCTCATCATTAGTATAACGAACTGACTTCTTGCTTTTCACTTTTCATTGTTTAGCAGAAGGCTCATCGCTGGAACCGTCTTTCGGCTGTCTCATCGATTTGGGTAGCTAAATTTTCACAAATCAATTGAGCCTAAATATCAAAAAAAAGAAGAGGTAAGAAAATTATTAAAATAAATATTCTCAAATAAAATTTTACCTCTCCTGCAAACTGTCATTTTCCCTGCTGAATTCGTCATTAATTTTGGCAAGGAATCAGTTTTCAGATTCTAGTCATTTATTTTCGCAAAAGAGATCAGAATTTTTTCACTTGAGTTGCTCAATCATTTTGTGAAAACCGTCGAGTTGCTCCTTCAGCTTTCGATTTTCTATATAAGAATATAAGAAATACATTATTAGATTAATATATTTATTAATCAGAGGTTGAGACAAATTGATACCGGTTTATAAATCATTGGATGCGTCGATAGTTATTATTTCGACTAAAGCTAAAGGAGTTACCTTGATTTGCATTAGAATTTTGATGGAAGTTGAATATCCTCGTATCATTTTCGCAATTCATCAATATTCACTTGATCTATAATTTGGAAATTTAAATGAGTATCAAATATATATAATATGATATAATAAACTTACATTCTGAGACTTTTGACTCCTTATCAGATTTACGTTTCGTTTGTTGTGCTTATTGGGCTTATTACGCTTGTTTCTTTGGTTGTTTACTTGGTTCTTTTCTTTTCATACTATTATAGAAAAGGTAAAAGTTGATTAATAGAGATTTGGTAAATGTGAAAATTGAATTTATATAATTAATTAATAAATTATACATGCATGCAAGAAATTATTATGCAAGGAAATATTAAATAATTATTTTTTTAAAAAAAAAAAAAATAAGTGATTTTTTTTTTGAAAATAAGAAAATTTTTAAGGAAAATAATAAGATGTTTAAGGAATTGCTACTTTCTAAAGAAAGTCGATTGAAAAATTAGTACTTTTATATATCACAAATTAACTAATCCTTACTTATTCGATTTTGATATACCTTTACGATAAAATATTCTTATGATATTGCTCATTCGACTTCCAGTTTCTCAAATCAACTTAAATTCTGACTCATTCGACTTAAAATTAGTTTTTTTTGACAAAAATATCCTTGTGATATTATTCATACAATTAGACTAACTCATTATACCTTATTGGCAAAATATTCTTGCGATATTGCTCATTCAACTTCCAGTTTCTCAAATCAACCTAAATTCTGACTCATTCAACTTAAAATTAGTTTTTTTTTGACAAAAATATTCTTGCAATATTATTCATACAACTAGTCTTACTCATTACATATATATTAATAATTATGATAAAATATTCTTGCGATATTTTTCGTTCGACTTCCTGTTTCTCAAAAATCAACTTAAATTCTACTTGAAAATTAGTATTTTTTGACAAAATATCCTTTCGATATTATTCATATAAGATAAAATTCAGTTTTAAGTTGAAATTTTAGCTAGTTGTGGTTGAATTTAATAATATTTCTTTATTTCTTTATTTTTTTTTTTTACCAAAAAAATATCTTTAAGCAAAATTTTTATCTAATGTGATAAAACTTTAATTTTCTTACCCAAATTTTTAATTTGTGTATAAATCTGAAATAAATAAGCTTAAAAAAACTTTTAATATAATTGAATCGGAAACTTTAAATAAAGTATTATTTAATAGATAATACATGCAACAAACAATACGTAAATCATCCATATACTCTAAAATAATATTAAGAATATAAAACAATACAAATATGAAGATTATTCTTATAAATTGCTCTATTTTGAACTTTTTTCTCTTTTTTTTCTCTTTCAAAAATTTATCAAAATGAGCAGAAAAAGGTCAATCTCTAGCATACTTGATGATGAAGAAAATAACTCAAGTCAATCTTCTACTGTGGCTTCTTATAGAAGAAACAAATCGATTATTAGTTTAATTGATGAAGAAATATCTTCTACTTCTAGAACATCATCAATATGTAATGTAATAACAAGATATCAATATTTACAAAGCTCAATTTCAGATGCATTTGATCAACTCGAAATTCAGGAAGAAATGGGAGAGTCTTCAATAACATCAGCTTTAGCTAGATGAATTATTGAACATAAATCAGAAGATGATGAATATCAGGAGGATTCTGATTCTACATTTGTATCTCTAAGACGTGTAAATAGGTACAAAAATCGACCAAAATCCAACATAAATCCTTCTGATAACAATTCTGAACAAAGTGTTAATAAGCCTTCTGAATCTTCTAAATATACCACTAAAGAAGACAATATTTTGGGTAGTAGTAGTAGTAATAGTAATAAATCGGATGATGGAGAATCAGATGATGATGAAGATTACAAAACATTTGAGAATTATGCATCACCTGATTATGAGCTATTGCAGGACCCACCAGATCTTAGATCAACTGATAACCGAATTTTATTGATTTTGCTCTGAATTATGACATTTCAGACAAGATTCACATAACGGAAACAGCAACTGAGGCTTTGATAAAATTTATGAAATTAGTCTTAACAGAAATCAGTGGAGATAATTTTAGAGATTTTCCAGATTTGATGTACTTAACAAGAAAAAAACTTGAATTAAAAGATCATTTTCATAGCTTCGTTCTTTATCTGAAATGTCATAAGTTGTATAAAGAACAGGAAGTGATAAATTTTAGACAAGAAGATTCCCTTGTTATAATAAAATGCGGACATGTAGAATTTCCTAATTCGTCACTCTGTAAATCATGACTTTACAATACAACTATATCTCGAACCATTAGTGTTTCATTAAATCGAGTAGTAATTTAACCTAATTTAATATTTCCATTTTCTGAAATCAGACAACAACTCGCTTTGATGTATCGTCGGCCTTATTTTGAAAGTTATTTGAGATAATGGGCAAATTGTTGGCATTATTATAATATTAGGACTGATATATATAATAGTCAAATATAGCAGACATTAAAAGAATCTTCTGAAGAAAATTCGCAAAATTTTTTTAAAGATAAAGTGGCTGATTTTCACATTGGATTAATGTTGAACTTGGATTGGTTCCAGCGTTATGAAGGCACTGTATAATGTATTAGTGTTATTTATGCTGCTATATGCAATTTGCCACGTGATATCTGATT